GTGATGATGCCTTCTACTACTACTACTACTACTACTACTACTACTACTACTACTACTACTACTACTACTACTACTACTAATAATAATAATAATAATAATAATAATAATAATAATAATAATAGATTGTTTCTGTGACATGTTACGAACTGCATCAGATCACAAATGAAGGCAAATATATACTTCTTGCACTGTTGCCCCTCCAGGCATGTAAATCCTTCACTGCTACCTGTGTAAGATATTGCAACATACAAATAAAGCCATCTGATCTCTCAATCAGCCAATCAATAAGAGAAAAAAAATCTAAGCTAATTTGCTAGATGCAAATTGAGGCAAGCTATGGTTGACACAAACAGCCCTTTTTCTCTTAAGATGCCTCTGTCTCCAGATATGACACCAAAATAAAATAAAATAAACTGGAGAGGAGGAAAGGAAGGAGGAGATTGAGGGCAGAAGCAAAGAAGATGGGCAGCTTTGCAATTGGGAGGTGATAGCTCATTATCCATCCAGAGACTCCAGTTCTTCAAAGTTTCCATGTTAGCACAGTCAACATATAAACAGAACCTCTTGTTTCCTCCTGGTAACCAATCATCCAGCAAAAGCAAGCTAATTTGCAACTTGGGAAGGTGAGAACCCAACATGGCATGTCCTGTACTGTTTACTGCTGTTCCCTTTCTAATTACAAAGCTCTCCCAAAGTTAAGAAGGCTGGAAGAAAGTTCTGAGACCATGGGAGAAGTTTTGGGATGCCGCCGCTCACAACGAAAAGGCCTTGTGCACCAATTCTCTCTTTTCTCCTCAGTGGATTGTCTCTGATGATTAAAAAGACAGAGGAAACAATGAGCAAACATGTAGGGACTGCAAACAGAAGATGTCAGTGCTGCACTGAATGAGGCAGTCTGATGGCACGGTAGAGACCTCATCTGAAAACACTCTTGGGTCGCAATGTATACTCTGTTTGTTCACATGGGTCACAGTCTTCTAATGATGGGAATGTGGTTTTTACACCATTTGAGAAGATCTTAGGCCAAACCCTCCCCCACAATGAAGCTTCTCTCTGCCTGCTGTGCCTGGCACTGGTTTCTATTGTGGCACCACAGGCTCAGCCACAGTTGAATGCTAGGGATGGGCAGCTGGGCAGAAGTCCTTTCAGTCTTTTTATTCTTGCCCATGCATCACTCCCGGAGATTTCACTGCGTGATGGAATGGAGCGAGCTGTACTCCTTACTAGTGAGTGATATTTCAATTAATTGTTTTTAAAATGCACTTAAAAACATAAAATGGGAAGAAATTCTTCCAGAAAATTTCATTGAATGCTACAAGTGGAGTATAACTGTGAAGCCCGCAGCAGCAAATGACAACTAATTAAATGAGCTGCCATTCTGCTATTTCTGATCATGTGCCAGTCGTGCAACATGGTACGTTATTGGAAATGCAACTGGTAACTCAATAACTAGCACTAATTCAATTCTGCAGTTCATGCAAATCCACTTACACTTGTGTAAATTTCAAACAAGATTCTGGCCATTATATATATATTTTTTCCAGAGTAGTAATATGGTAACATTATTGCCCAGAAAGTAACACAGTACACATTGCTTCCAAAATCTATTCCCAAATAGTTGAGATCTATCTATTCTCGAAGGCTTTCACGGCCGGGATCTGATGGTTGTTGTGGGTTTTTCGGGCTTTTTGGCCGTGTTCTGAAAGTTGTTTTTCCTGACGTTTCACCAGTCTCTGTGTCCTCTGAAGATGCCAGCCACAGAGACTGGCGAAACATCAGAAAGAACAGCCTTCAGAACACGGCCAAAGAGCCCAAAAAACCCACAAAAACCAGTTGAGGTCCAACTTTGGTCCTTAGGCTTTGAAGCTACAAAGTAGCAAAATAATACAGCCAGGAGTCCCCAAGTGCAGTGGTCCTCAACCTTGGGCCTCCAGATGTTCTTGGATTTCAATTCCCAGAAATCCTGGCCAGCAGAGGTGGTGGTGGAGGCTTCTGGGAGTTGTAGTTCAATAACATCTGGAGGCCCAAGGTTGAGGACCATTGCCCAAGTGAGAGGGATGCACTGTGCTGAGCACCCCTGTTAATTTGACCCCTATTCTAACTACCCAGAACCCAGTGGTCATAACCTATTGGAGACCTATGCACATACAATAGGAATAGTGGAGGATGTCATGGCCAGTTGACAAGATGCCATCTATAAGTCATGTGCCCAGTTGTGCTGCTGACACCTTGTCAATTAGCCGCCATTAGTCATAGCACTTTCCATCATTATTCTTAAAACAGGAGTGGGTGGCCTCCACCTTTAGTGGGTCTGCAGCCTTTGTAGCTCCATCCAAAATTGTCTCCCTTCCACACAATTTGTTTGTTGATTGATTGATTGATTGATTGATTGATTGATTGGATTTCTATCCTGCCCATCTAGACCATAGGTCTACTCTGGGCGGTTTACAAATTTAAAAACAATAAAACCAAAAACATACATTATATATTATAGATCCAAGGTGGCGAAAGTATAAGAAATTAACATACGGCAGGAGGGAAAGCCTGCCCAAATAACCAGGTTTTATACTTATTCCTGAAAACACCCAGAGAGGGAGCCAGGCTTTTGAACTAAGCTTTTTGTCGGTTGTTTGTTGGAGGGGTTTGTTGGAGGCTCACTTTGCAGAGGAGCTGTTTGGCATGGCTGATATATCTAGGTCCTGCCCAGGGTGGAGTCCAATATTTCAACAAGTATTGGGTTGCCCTGGCAACTCAACCTAAGGAGGACTCTAATTGTTGCAGAAGGATAGGGGAAGTCAAAGAGAGTGCCTCTTCATGCTCTTTTGTAAGAATTGTCTAGCTGGACCAGATTGTCCACCGTTGCATTTCTCACTAGGAATATATACAGGTGTGTATGTTTGTACAGTCATATGTGCTTGGTGTAGTTGTTTGTATATATGTGTATACATGCACTGTGCCTGTGTAAAAGTAAATAGGTTAAGCATGTCAGTGTATTTCTATGTGTGCTAGAGTCATTACATGCCAATGATGATGATG